TCAATTCATCAAACACCATGATTTTCATAGCTACTAAATGAAAAAAAACAAAAGTTATGTATGATCGGGATATATTCGAATCATATTAGATATTATAAATATGAGTTACTTGGAGTCCAAGAAATCAATAAAATAATACATTCAAACACCATGATTCTAATAGACACTAAATGGAAAAAACTAAAATTTGTGATATGACGGGGATATATTCGAATCCTCTTAAATATTTATAAATATGAGTTACTTGGAGTCCAAGAAACCAATAAAAACATGCGTTATTATATGAATATATAACTTATATTTTTTCTCCGCTTTCTATACTTCAATATCAAACAACAATAATAATTTCATTAAAAAAATATATTTATTGATTGAAATAAAGAAGTCTGAAGAACAAAGAATAATTAAACTATAATTTCTATACATGGTAAATCATTTTTTTAAATGATATTCAATGTAGACGTCATAACACTATTCAATGTAGACGTGCCACACTACCACGCGTGCATGGCCTCTTACGCGGATATCTGCATTGTTATAAAAAAGAGTTGAGAGAGAGAAAGCGACCACGAATTAATACCAAAAAGTCAAAATACAAACATTAAGTATTAGAAACTCACTGTTCCAAAAACTCATCTAACTCAGGAATACGGGGATTGAGTTCGAACTTAGTAGGAGATGTGGAAGATATAGTGATCTTGCCTATGTTGATAAAACAAATACAGAGTCAAAACAATAAAACGAAACGAACATAGAGAATATAAATTAGTATACTAAAAATACCTCCAAAATAATCAATAACGGCCCATCTAAGCACACACACAATGATATCTTGATCACAGCGTCTCCAAGATGCATAAAAGTTCTTCGCCATCTCACCGAACAATTCACAACTCAAATCAACACCACTAAATTAAAACATGCCACACATATTCAGATGGATAGAATAATTAAAACGACATTATACAGTTTAAAACATTCAGCAGACAGTACCGTTTATCTCTAAGACAGAACGTGACGGTTGAATATGAACAACATATCTCGGAATCACATATATCATTACATAGACTGCCATATGAAGGAAAAGAATGCTCTCCAGTCAGTAAATCACAGGACGTTCCAGATAGTCTTACATTTAAGACACGACCTATCAAATCTTCATAGACAACAATAATTAAATAATGTTAACATCAGTAAGATAATAATAACGAAATTCAATAACTAAATCAAAAATAAACACACCAACTAAATAGTCATCATCAAGGGCACGATCCAATATCCTTTGAAAATCAACAAATTCAAAATAGGCATTTTCACATCTACGTGAAGTCTTGTCAATGATAGTTGATGGTATGAACAATATTTTGTATCTATGAGAAGTCGGTCTACAACTATCCTCACAATCGATAACAGAAAAACGACTGATAATAATCCAACTACCAACATCTATGCGAGACGATGCAACACTGATCTCACCATCACTAACATTGGCCTGAATCTTTACACCCTGTGAATAAAACAGTAATTTAGACACCGACAAAAATTTAGAATATTTTTGTGTAATAGTACAATAAATACCTGTTCATCCGACAATATGAGCTCCATAGAAGAACGTTTCAAAATTAGTATATGCACCTACGTTTTGTAAAACCTTAACAAAGATAGTACAATCATCTTTGGAAGGACTCAAACGTGAAACACACCTACCAAAACACATTGAACCAAGAGAAACTGTATAAGTACACACCGAATCCTGGTGTCCAGATATACTAATATTCTTTTCGATGAGTATATCACTCAGTTCGACGTTTCGTTGATCTTCACTATCATCGTCAATATCAGTCTCATCATCCAACATAACATCTTCATCATCATTTTCATTATCATCAGTTGAATCGGCATCGTCATCATCTTCATCTTCGTCATCACCGCTATCATCTTCTGAGCTATCACTTGAACCATCAGATTCTTCACAAGTCTCATCGTCGTCAATAAAATCATCCTCAGAATCATACTCATCTGTTTGGTCCATATCATCAGTATCTTCACCCGTCTCTGAATCAGACCCCATATAATCCTCAAAACCATAATCATCATCAGTACCACGACCCGATAAAACCTCGGTATCATCAGAGTCACTATCTTCTGCATAGATAAATATATGTAAAAACGGTGTAATTAGTATTCTAAAAAAATAAATCAGTGTTCAAAACAAAAAACAAAGAATTGAAACCATTAGATTCTTTATTCGTAACCCAAGCATTCCTCGCAAAATCCCATAGAAAAGTCTTCTGAGCATGATCACTCGTATTAACACGATCAGAAACTAAATACACAAAACAAACATTAGAACAAACATAAAGACTTAATATACACCATTAACAAAAATATATTACATTAAGAGCAGAAATACCTCCTTTGATAAAAAGCTCGTGATCAAGAATAGATATATGATACGAAGAATCAATATCTACATAAAAATTGAAAACGTTCATAGATTAATATATAATAAGGGTATGCATCTGAAAGGCTAAGATATAGCATTACAAAAGGTAAAAACTGTAAGATTAATAGATACCTTTGATAACAGGATTATATGTCCGCAAGGTCCATTCATCGATAGCAGAATCGATAAGTAGCTTGCATGGATAACCTACAAATACAAACAACTACTAATAAGTATTATAAATTGAATGAATAACCTAAAGAGGTTCAACAACCTTTTTTTTTGGTGATAACCACGAAAACATATGGAGTCACGTAACGATAATCAGTCATGTCTTTGTTATCCATATTCTGACGATGCGATTTCAACACAGACTTTAACCCGCGAGCATAAGCCTGGTTATCAAAACCTATAGTCGTATAAATTTTTAGAATTCATCTAAAAAAATTGAGAGCATACATACTATTATTAAATTTGATAATAGTTATACATATATACCAGAATCGGTAGACGGAACTTCCCAAGTGATGATGACTTTAGATGGATGATCAAAGCTGTACTTAGACGAACACATTGTTAGCTTTGCATGCAAATAGTTAATGTTATTATAAAAACCCTAGCAAAATAATCACAGAACCCTAATAGAAAAACTAATGCGTAAATTATGAGAAGTTTGGTTGAAAACGCTCATATTTATACGTCTAAACAACCTAGGATTTATTTTCTTGTGAAAAATACTAAAATGTAATTATTGATCTACATGCGATATTATCTTCCCATAATTTTTGTAGTTATTAATAATAAAAATGTAAAGATTCCATTCTAGATAATAACAAAGAAAGTATGGAATATTCCCTTTTACAAAATATTTAATAAATACAAAATATTTCCAAAAATCGAATTAAAATTAAAAAAAAAACTAATCACAGGATTCGAACCCGTGAACCTTCGCTAAATGGACAAAGCATTTAACCAACACACTAACATCTCAATCAGCACAAACGACGTATTGGAAGGTATGTATATTTTTTTTTGGGTTTGAAATTTGGGCCAATTTATTCGAGAGAAAAGATTATGGCCCAGACCCTTTTTACTTGAATTAAAGAAGTTTTCCATTTTTAGAGCAACTAATATCGATTTTAATGATTTAAAATTAACTAATCCAACCAATCAAATTATAACAATTATCAACCAATCAAATCATCAAAATTTCATTAATCAAAACGACATCAAAAAGTGTGCGTTAAACCACAGAAGAATTCACTTCGCAATACTAATATAGATTTAACAAAAAATTAAAAATCAGTAAATAGAATATCTAATGGAATGATTGTTGTTGTGATGTCTAGATTAGTGTATTCGACTTCAAATGTTTAAGTATAAATATGAACATGATTTCTCTCGAATTCTCCCACACCCTTTCTAAATTATTGAACTTTTTCTTTTTTTTTCAAAGGAGTTTGTACGGTACTTCTAAAAGCTACGTCTTAAATACATAGAACAGTGATCAAAAGATTTTAAACTATCTAAACTAAAATATTTAGATACTAATATGTTTTTTATTTACATTCTTCTATATTGATTTCACGATCATGTCTTCAAACATTAAAATGTAAAGAAATCTAATAAACAAATATACTCAATAATAGAAAAAAATGACTTCAAACTACAATTAGATTTTCAAACAACAAAATGGAAAATTATATCAGTCCACGCAAGACGTGGACAAGTTCACTAGTTAATAAATAATTAAGTTTGTGTGACCAGTATAACAATATAGACCTGATGAGTATTCAACCAAAACAACAACATAGTCAGGTGGTGCAGGACAACAACAACAAAATCTTCCTCGTCCGTCTCCATTTGATGAATTATCTTCAACTTTCTATCCTCAAAGGCAAGAAACAGCAAGTGTTGGTGACTCCGTTTCAAATCACACTCTCTGTTCCAATTCTTAGGAGTCTCGAATAATACCAGTTTATTAGAAGAGATTGTGAAAGAAAGAATGAAAGGGAATAATAATTACTTCACATTTCCACCAGAAAAATAATAATAATAATTGTTGATCCACCTATTTATATATGGAGTTTGGGCTTGGTTTCTTGCTTTTAAAATTTTCTTTATAAATGAAAAAGATGACATTTATCTTAAGTCTAAAGAAATCAAAAAATTTATATTGTCTATCATAGGAAATTGGTGCTCCTAAATTACTAGAATGATACACTAATAAGTTGACAAATAGCCGAAAGTTAGGCTCATTGTTTTTCACTTCGGAAAACTGTAAGAATTATTTGAGGTCATATATGTATAATAAATGTGTTAGAGTCATTATTTAAAGTAGTCAAAACTTATATGGTCATTTTGCTATAAAAAGAAAAGACTAAGAGGCATAAGTGTTATGGAAATTTAATGTGAAGATACATTCAGTAATTTCTAATTTGATGACCGGCCGAATTAGAAATTTATTCTCTATATAAATAGAGAGGTTATGGTCCCCTTAGCAACCCTAACGAGAAATACATAAACTCTCTGCATCCCATCAACAGATACCTACAACTATTGAGAGTTTGTTGTGGAAAAACCATAGCAAAATTCAGAGCATAAATCATGGATCGAAAAAGTACGCTTCCGCTTCTGTTCTTATTGATCAGAGACTGACATGCTATAGTGGTTTATAAAGAATGAAAACCTTACAATTGGTATCAGAACATCATGTTCAGTTTCTGTTTGATAATCAAGTTATTTTAAGAAATAAATTCGGATTTATTTTTTGAAAAATTTTAGCTTGTTGAATCTGATTTTTCTCTAAAGTTTATGCCTAAATAGTATTCTGGGATCTGTGGTTTATTGTTAAAACTTAGATCTGGATTAAACATGCATGTTTTAGATCTGTGTTTATGTAATATTCTTCATATCTAGATTATTGCTCATAAGATTTTGTTTTTCTAAAAACTTTTATATATTTTTCAGGATTTTCTGGGAGCAATTATCGAATTTAATCTTTGAAATTTATCTAAGTTTCATGTTCATATAGTATTTTCGAAACTCTGGAAATCTTTTCGGATATTTTGAGCAAAATTTCGGATCTGATTTTAGTCTTGACGGCTGTAAACCCTAAGGTTGAAGATATGGCATTTTCGTGATTTTTGAAAGTTTGTTAATGAAACTGTGCACTTCATATGGTTATATCGGACTGGACTTGGGCTCAATTTTGACTGAAGTTGCATTTAAGCCTAAGTTTCATTAAACCCAAATGCGGTTATATTCCACTAAGGCCCAATTCATTTTAATTGGGTTAAGTCGCGTAATATGGATAGCCCCTTCCTATTTATCTTCAACCATTCTGCCACCGACATATTCTTGCATATAATATCCCCGGACTTTATTTTATATGTCTGCGGAAAAATATAATCAAGTTTTTAATCAATAAATAATTTTGATTGTGCAAGTTTAATAATTGAAGTGGATTAATTGATGCAATATGTTGCCACAATAACCTCTATTGTTGATATTTTTTCATGGATAATATTAAATATTATGTGTATATGTATATTTATGAGAATATTAAATCGATCGAAAGGTAGGTTTGTATTTGGCTGAATAACATACATACCTGTGATGATAAACATGTCAAAATTATTAGGAATAAACATGTGAATGATAAATCGATCCAAAGATAGGTTTATTGTTTATCATGCATTATTGTCAATGTTTGATTGTTACAACCAGAGTATCACTAGCAGTTAATATTACTGTCCAAAGACTTGATATTAATGTTGCACTTGGTATCTTGAGATGAGTTGTACAATTGTTTATTTTTATTTATTGATTTAATTCGGTTTAGTAGTAAATTACTAATAAAAATTGTTCAATTTTGCAGCGAATTTTACTGCAGTATCTGCAAACTTAAGTTCAATTCCAACACTTACTGGTTCCAACTACAAAGAATGGAAAACTAAAGTTAAAATTGTTCTTGGGTGTATAGATCTTGACCTTGCGTTAAGGATGGAACAACCTGCTTCTCCTACAGATACCAGCACCGCTGAGTATAAGGCAGTTCATGATAAGTGGGAACGTTCTAATCTCATTGGTTTAATGATTATTTTGGACATCATTCCATAAACCTTTAGAGGTAATGAGGAGATCTCAGATCTCAAACAGTTCCTTGCTGAGATGGACTTGCGTTTTGCGAGTAGCGATAAAGCAGAAATAAGTTCGCTACTGTATCACTTTAGTACCATGAGGTATCACAGCAAAAGAAACATAAGGGAGTACATTTTGGAAATTTCCAACATTTTTTCAAAACTCAAGACTCTCAAGATTGAGCTTCCAGAAGAAGTGCTCATACATTTTGTCTTGAACTCACTTCCTCCTCAATTCAATCAATTGAAATCCAGTTACAACACACGTAAGGAGAAATGGGCTCTTAATGAGCTTATTTCGTATTGTGTGAACGAAGAGGATAGGATGAAACAAGAAAGGTCTGAAAATGCTCATATGGTCAACACCTCTAAGGTTCAGGGCATAAGAAGTAAAATTGAGGTTGTTAAGAATGATGCTGCTAAAGGTCCATCTCAAAAGAAGCAGACTAAAGATGAAGATACCTGCTTCTTTTGCAAGAAAACTGGACACATGAAGAAGGACTGCCAAAAGTACCATGCTTGGCATGGTAAGAAAGGTATGTTCTTTGCTATGGTCTGTTCTGAGGTGAACTTAATTGAAGTATTCAGAAACACTTGGTGGTTAGACTCAGGTGCAACTAATAACATCAGTGTTTCATTACAGGGTTGCCTGAGCTACCGAAAACCAACTGAAGCTGAAAGACGCATTCATGTGGCTGATGGTTTTGCGGTGGATGTGGAGGCAATTGGGCATTTTAGATTGTTTTTAGTACTGACCATTTTTTGGATTTAAAAGACACTTTTGTTGTACAGTCATTTAGACGAAATTTGGTTTCTGGTTCTGGTTATTCTTGTATAACTGAGCATGGAAAAGTTTCTTTGTCTTTAAATTCAATTTTAATTGGAACTGGTACACTTATAAAAAATCACAGTCTTTATATGCTTGACACTTCAACTTCTCATGATGAAAGTTTAAGTGTTGAATCAAGGGGTACTAAACGAAAGTTTGAGAATGCAAATTCAGGAACTCTGTGACACAAATGCTTAGGTCACATTTCTAAAAATAGAATTGAGCGGCTTGTGTCAGATGGTATATTGAGTTCTGTTGACTACACAAATTCTGATGTCTGTGTGGATTGCATTAAAAGAAAACAGACTAAACATAAAAATTAGATGCATATAGAGCTACGAAAGTCATTGAGTTGATACATACAGATTTTTGTGGACCATTTCCTACGGCTTCTTGGAACGGTCAACAATACTTCATATCATTTATTGACGATTATTCTCGATATGCATACTTATTTCTTATTCATGAAAAGTCAGAGTCTATAGACGTGTTCAAGAAGTTTAAGGCTGAAGTTGAGAACCAACTTGAGTGAAGGATAAAGTCTGTCAGATCTGATCGTGGTGGTGAATATTACGGTTGGTATGACGGTTCAGGTGAACAACA